TTACAAAAATAAGATTTTTTCAAGTCAGAATATGTTATTTTAAAATATTTTTAAAGTATATACATATTTTTTTTCTGGACTTTTAGGAAATATAACTATTTAGGGAATACAGTATAAATAATTTTCTAAACTTCTAGGAAATAACTAAAAATATCTCAGAGATTTTTGTTGTTGTTTGTTTAATTTTAATCACAAAGAGGTAGATTTTTCTTCTTCATGTCATTATTTTGATATTAGACTGACGAATTCTTGCCCCTGGCCCTAAGACTGGATAACCCTGGATATAGGTCATTTGACTGCCTTATGCTTCAGTTTCCCAATTACTAATTTATTTAGATACTATACCTTTCACAATTTGCAGAGGTGGCATAAAGGTGGGTTAGACTATATTGCATATATAGTATTTATATTTCTTAATAATAGTAGCTTTCACTTACTATTTTAAAATGTCCTCACCTCAGGGACATTCAAGGTTGATAAGAGTTCAGGGATCTGTATTGAGCTGTATCAGTGTTTATCAGGTGAATACCCTAAATAGCTACTGCAGAGGCATTCAGCATATGGCTGATTTTAAGCCCAACTCTTCTTTTCCATTTCAGGTCCCCGAAGTCATGGGTTGCTGGCTCCTGCTCAGAGTGACAGCACCCTGTGGATTCTGCTGGTACTGGCCCGACCACCACAGAGCCCCACTGGAGCATGGAGCCAGCCTAGAGAGGGTCAGGTAGGAACTGTTTTTTCACTCTATGGCACGGTTTTGCCAATTGGAAAAAAAAAAAAAAAAGTAACTTTTATACCCCCAAAATGGGTATAAAACATTGGTGATTAATTTTGAAAAAGGGCTTTTCAAAACTGAGCCATATTGGAAAAAATCAGCACTTACACGATCTTGTGCAAGTAGACTCACTATTTCCCCAGATTCCCCACAGTGTACATAATGGCAGTCACATTGTAGCATTTCTCAAATAGATACATTTGATCCATGTTTCTAGTGTTTGTAAAAGTAGTTAGTGATATTTGCCTACTTCTATAAGAACTTTTTAACTGCTTAAATGACTGAGTCCTAAGCAACTTTTAAGTGATAATATGTTCCATAGTTTTCAGAACATTTTTGTGTTACTATTTTTCATTATCATATTTCTGAAAACTAGGGAAGTAGCAATAACATTAATTGCCCTTTCCTATGTGCCACCTGAAAAGTTTATATGGATGACCTCATTAAGTCTTCACAAGAACACTATGTGGTAGATACTATGATAAGGCCCATTTTATATGTGGAAAAAGTGAGACTTAAGCAAGTTAAATAATTTGTCCAGAGTTACAATTTAACTGAGTAAAAAGCCACATTCAAAATCAAGAAGTGTGGATGAAGAGTTATTATTATTTATATAACTATTATATATTGACAATTATATAATTGTCAGTCTTTTCTACAGGGGAAATTCTAGTGTTATTGGACTAAGATAATTTTCTCAAGACTGACCTGCAAATTTTTTTGGAAGTAATTGACTCTAATATACACTGAGCTTAGTATAAAATGAGCTTTTACTTAAAGTTTATTTCTACCTTAAAAATAATTTAATTCTAGATGGGCACAGTGGCACATGCCTGTAACCCTAGTGGCTCAGGAAACTAAGGCAGGAGGATTGAAAGTTCAAAGCCAGCCTCAGTAATTTAATAAGATCATGTCTCAAAATCAAAAATAAAAAGTACCAGGGATGTGGCTCAGTGGTTAAATGCCCCTGGGTTCAATCTCCAACACAAAAATAAAATAAATAATTTTAAACACTTTACATACGCTGATCAACCATATTGCATTTAACATTAAATTATCACTGACCATATATTCAGATTTTACTTTGTGGTGGTATTTCATGGAGAGATGGAAGCAATGTGGCAAACAGTTGAAGCAGTCAGTGTAAACTAATAAGTACAATTTTTTATATTTGCTCTTTTGATGGTTATTAATAACTTAAAAACATTTTTAAGAGGAACTATAGATACTGTATTTATGCACACTTAGTGGCATAAAAGCATGTCACTTAATATGTTTATGTGACAAGAAAATATACCTTCCAAAAACAGTTGCATTGTCCTGAGATTATAACTAAAATATTTTATTTTGAGGGATTTCTTCACAAAGATTAGCCTTTAAGATGTGTGGAATAACAAATAATTTTCCAGAAATGCACAATATCTGTAAGAGACTATAAAATCAAACAGGAAACCCTTTTAGTTTGGGAGTATTTTTCTGTCTTAATTTAAGATTTAATCTTTTAAATTTTTCAAGCCTGAAAACAGTTTTATAGAGGTGACAGCATTCTAGATACTTGATTGATGTGGTTTCACTTACTCTTTAATTTTACTAAAAAACTTAAAAAAGATGAATTTACTTCAATAAGGTTTATGCATTCCATAATATTTTGGGACAAATATTTGCAAAGAAGGTTTCTTGGAGGACTTATAGTTTTTTTTGAGCTCTTAATTGTTAAATGAGAATACAATGATTATGTATGGTAAATCCAAAGAGATGAACTGTGTCTTACAAGGAACTTTTTAAAGAGATTTTTCCAATATTTATTTCACTGAGTTGCAGTTGGTTTTTTTTTTTAATTTTAAAGAGTATAATTTTATTTCTAAAGATTATTTATTGTTCTTCAGAAACAACAGTATTGAGTCTAACTCTGAAATAGGTAAGTGACAAGTCTTACAAAGCAAAGCATAGTAGGTTAAGGAACTGATTGGAAGTCTACCATTCTGGCTTTCTTTTTAGTTTAACAAAGACTCCTTAACTGTCTCATGAAGAGGTAATGAGTAAGGATAAGTAACAACTATTCAATTAACTATCATGCTTCATCAAAATCTAGTAAGATAAAAATCTATGAGCAAACTGGTATGATATTAGAAAGTGGAAGATTTAAAGTTGAAGCAAGTAGCATGAGTAATGGAATATAGATGTTTAAATGTACAAATGAAAGCAATCAAATGATATAAAAGTGTCCTGAATCCAGGATACACTGTAAAACCTCCCTCAGTTATCCAGTTAAGGATGATCTTTACTTAAAACATTTACTTTTGGGGAAATGAAATGCCATCATGAGTAGAAGGGTCCCATTAATATTTACTAAGAGCTAGAGAATAGGATGTTAGAAATTAAGAATTATTTTTACATTTTGGGAGAGCTATGCTTTGTGCCCACATTTTTCCTATGACTGTAGCTCTACAGGGATTCTGAAACTCAAGTCAAGAATGGAAAGGGGCTACCTCCTTATACAGGTTGAGTATCCTTTATCTGAAATGCTTAGGAACCAGAAGTACTTCAAATTTAAATTTTTTGGATTTTTTAATATTTGCATATACATAATGAGATATCTTGGGAGATCCAATCCAAGTCTAAACATGAAATTCATTAATGTTAATTCATTATGTGTTCTGTGTATATCATACTCTTTAACACTGATGTAGATGGACACATTATTTTTATGTGGTTCTGAGGATCAAACACAGTGCCTCACACTCTACCACTGAGCTACAGCCCCAGCCCAACACTGATGTTTTTATTTCAACTTTGTTTTGACTCTGACCTGTCACGTGTCAGCCATCCAAAAACCTTTTGATTTTGGAGCATTTCAAATTTTTGGATAAGGGATGCTCAGCCTGTATTCCCCAGTATTTTGATAAGGCTACTAGATCTACAGTTTGATAAGGAAGAAAGGAGAAGCTGAGGCCCAAGCATGCTACTTATTGTCAAAATCAAGTGTAAAATCAAAACTTAATTGAGGCAGGGATATGCTGATACGTGTCTGTGATCCCAGCTACTAGGAGGTTGAGGCAGGGTAATTAAAAATTTGAGGTCTCCCCATGCAACTTAGTGAGACCCTTTCTCAAAATAAAATGGACTAAAGGTATTGCTCAGCAGTTGTGCACTTGTCCAGGGTTCAATCCCCAGTACTGCCAAAACAAAACAAAACAAAAAAACCCACAGGCAAGGGAGGGTTTTTTTCTGTTTTATCAGGATGTCTTCCTAAACCAGAGTTTTTCACATAGTAAAATACAATTATTAGAAATTCTCATGTAGAAACACAGTATGTCCAAAATATAAAAACAAATCTGTTTTATTTGAAGCCAAAGAGCCCAGACTATTAAAAGCATTCTCCTTGCCTCTCTTTTTCTTTCCCTACCAGGTACCTCTAAAGAAATCTAAGCTTGCCAGGCGGGGTGGCGCTGCCTATAATCCCAGTGACTTGGGAAGTTGAGGCAGGAGGATTGCAAATTTTAGGCCAGCCTCAGTGACTTGATGAGACTATGTCTCTAAAAAATAAAAGGGACTTGGGATGTAGATCAGTGGCACTGGGTTTGATTCCCAGTATCTCAAAAAAAAAAAGAAGAAGAAGAAAAAGAAATCTAAGCTTTCACTGAGTATAGTTTTAATACGCACAATATATTCTAGAATTTTTAACATTATGTATGTTTCTATAAAAGTAATTACTTTGTTGAATATCTTATAAACCATTTCCTTTGTCTAACATCTGGACTTGAGCTACTTGTTCAGCTTATGGTATAACAAACAACATCTCACTAAGTGCAGTGAGCATCTCATTTCATGCTTTAAATTTTCCACGAGATTTAGATTTGTATCAGGAGCTGGAGAGGGCATCTGAGAAGGACAGGGAGTCTCTCCTGTTCAGTGGCGATAGCCCATTTCTAATTTTTATCTACCTTGTACTCTGTGCCTTTGCTGAAAGAATTTGAAGAAAAAAAAAAGTATGTGCATGGAAGTAGAAGAATATTTTCTCAACTTATTCTCAAAGTTGCTAAATGCTTGCCTGAAATAACAATCATAAGCACATGGCCTTGCTTACTCACTGCTTAGAGAAAACACCACAGTACTTACTTCTATTCCCCACCCTTATACATTGTTCCTTAAGCTTATAGATGATCATAACATTGCTGTGCAGTTTTCTGCTGCTTACTTTTAAGTTGAAATCTCATTTTTGTTTCAGATTCTCCTTCTTCTGTGGTTAACAAACAGCTCGGATCCATGTCACTTGACGAGCAACAGGGTGCGTGCAACAGGAGATGCGCTATGCCCATCCATCCATAGTTTTATTGCAATGCATAAACAAAGTTCTTTTTCATTTTTACATAGCATTTCATTTTGATTATGGTCTTAACATTAGTATTTTATAGACTAAATACCCCAGGTGGTATTGTGCACAAAGGGCCCCCTTGGCCTTTACAAATTATGCTCTGTGTAAGCTAATTTCTGTCTTTGACCTTTTATGGCAAATTTGAATTTTTTTCCTGTAACAGTGTTGTAATGGATATAAACTATATCCATTTTAAATGCTAGTCTCATAAAATTATGTAGAACTGTGGGTGTGTGGTTAGCATAATCAACTCATCACTCATTTAGGAAAAGTCATTTGAGCATAGTAATATTCCATTAGATTTTCATAGTAATGACACTTGATTTAGTCTGGTCTCATTTATCTGGTGATCTGACTTCTGTTAGCTTTAACTCTAAGGAATATACTTAGGAACCCAGAGGTAAACTGAGAAGCCACCCATCAGAAGGGAAAATGGCTTCTACTTGGCACTTGCACTTTTTGAAGTATCAGAGGGGTAGACTTGTCCGAGAACCCTTGAGGAGAACCTGATGATATAGATTACTTATTTTTCAAGCTTTTTTACTGGCCCATCAAATACAGCACAGAGAGGGAAGGAAGGCATTCTGACAAAAGGGGGGCATCTGAAAAGAAGGGTGGAGAAAGGAAGACTATAAACAGCTAAAATAGCCTCTGTGGAATTAGGGCAAATGGGTTACTCTCTCCACTCACAGTTCCCTGAAGGGTTCTAAGTATTTTGTGACACAGTTTCATAAATGTTACTAATTTTTGATGTTAGGTCATAAAGAAAAATTTAAAATGCTTTTATTTTTTTTCACTATTAAAAAAGGCAGGTGGGTGCCTGATAGAGTTTAGAAATATTTATTTAAAAGACTTTTTTTTTTCAAGTAGCAAAAGCTGTAAGATTTGGTTGGCTGAAAGTTTACACACGTAAGCTGACTCACTTGTTAATAGCAATAGGGAAATTAAATATTTTTATATAGTGTGAAGTAGGTCTAATTTTAACTATATCTTTGCAAAATCTTTGAAAACAATTTTTAAAACAGGGTAGAAAACTTCTGTACTTTGAACCTTAAATTATTCTACGTGAACTTGAGAATGACCAGTATTATTATAGGTTTTTTTCCTGTAAGTGAAAAAAAAAAATTAGTAATGACTTTGAGAACCAAGGAATTAAATGTTTTATCTTTATACATTTATTATAGAGAGAGCAACACAGAAGACTAACTAAAGTGAATCACAGTTATAGTATTATATATTAGACAGTGGCCAAATTCATACTCTTATAATATAACAGTAATTTTCATAGATTGTATTAAATGTTAAATTCATTTTAAGTTGAGAATGTATGCATGATATGGGACATGACAAAAAGAGAAGAATCAAGCTCAACATGCAGATCTTTGAACTCAGCTCCTGGGTAAATGGTAATAATTCTAGCTTAGAAGTGGAAATTAAGAGTTTTTTTTTGTCCCTGGGGCCATGTACAGTATAGTATGTCTTTTAGCCATGTAAGTAGAGATGTGAGGTCAAATATTGAGATGATTTGGCAGAAAGTGCATTATAATAGACCATTAAAATGTAGCTTTGTGGTAAGACCTCTGAACAGAAATGTTGTAATGGTGGAAAATATATCTCCAAATTATTTAAGTCCTGTTTTTTTTACATGCCTTTGCTTGGTAGGATTAATGTCCTGAGGGCTTCAATTAAGGGCTTAGGTTACCTGAAGATAACTTCTACCAGAAAAGTTAAGGGAGACTGCCCACCACCGATCTGTCTCTTCTGGACTAATGTAATATTTTCTTAGCTGCTCTTCTCACCCAGGCTGTCATCTATTCTCTACTAGCATCCAGAGTGACACTTTAAAGAATGTAAATATACTTGTGTCATTTATCAGCCTACAATTTTTTAATTGCTTCCATAAAGGCCTTTAAAACAATCCAAATCCATGCCTTTGCTTACATGACCTGGCCCCATCTCTCTAGCCGTGTCTCAGGCCACTCTGCTTGCTTGCTACAGTCTTGCCAGATAGCCTCCTTTCAGTCCTACCACTGAGCTCCTTTACCTCTCAAACCCCCGGACCTGCTTTTCCTTTACTAGAACTGCTTTTCTGTTAAGCAACTTTTGTTTATCCTTTGAATCTCACTTTGTCAAAAATAATAAGGTCTCCCTGCCTTCTGAAGTTCTTTTCCTTTATGGCGTGTTATTTTCCCACATTTGCTTTATAATCATACATTAATTTAGGGGATTGTTTGTTTCTGTGTTGAATTAGTAAGTAGATTGATTGAATCTTTAAGCACTGGGAAGCTTGGGAAAGTATTTCAGCTTGGGAAAAATGAGACCATATTTAAATATTGGCAAGTGCATTTTGGAAGTTTTACAAATGATTGGTGGGAGGTTGCAATGGTAAGAGCACATAAGGGGCTGCTACTGCATTCGTCCAGTTGGAAACGATGAGGAAGTCAGTCTAAGGCCATAGCAGTGGGAAATGAGAATGGTCAAATTGGTTAAAAAAAAGTTTGAGAGGTAGAGTAAATGGGAGTTAGGCTGGGCTTTTAGCTCAGTGGTGCAGTGCCATCCTAGCATGCACCAAGCCCTTGTTCAATCTCCAGCACTGAAAAAGACAAGAAGAATAAATGGGACTTTGGAACTGATTAGGTAAAAATGATGTCTGGGTAAGGTGATAGTGAACCACCAGCCAAGAGAGTTTCCAGGAGGAATAGCTGATTTTAGGGGAAAGAAATATCCCTTTAAGATATTGTTTTAAATGTAGAGTTTGAAGTGTGTCTTAATCTGTTTTCAGTTGCTATTAAAGAATACATTCATGTGAGTAATTTACAAAGGAAAGAGGTTTATTTTGGCTCACTATTCTCACTATATCTGCATGGCTTCTTATGAGGATCTTGTGCTACTCCATGCATGGTTAAAAAGTGAAACAGCCAGGGCTGGAGTTGTGGCTCAGTGGTAGAGTGCTCGCCTAGCATGCATGAGGCCCTGGGTTCAATCCTCAGCACCACATAAAAATAAAATGAAGATGTGTCCAGCTAAAACTAAAAAATAAATATTTAAAAAAAAAAAAAAGTAAACAGAGGAAGCAAGAGAAAGCTAAGGAAGCCAAACCCAGTTATAACAACTCATTCCAGAACTACCTGATGCAGTCTCCTGGAGAGGAGATCTCTTCTGCAAGCTGACATTAATCTTTTTGTAAGGACTCTGCCCCAAGACCCAAAGCCTCTCACAAGCCCCCGCCTTACAGCACTAGCATTGAGGAACATACAAACCATATTCAGACCATTGGATGTACAAATGGAGCAGTCTCATAGACGGCTATTTGGCTATATGATTTTGGAAGTCACCAGGAGTCAGAGGTCGAGATGAAACATTAGGAACCATACATTTATGGATAGTTGGAAAAAATGGGAATGGGTGATACTGTCTGTAAGAGGATGAAATGAAAAGAATCTGCTCTCCAGGGAAAAAGAGCAAAAGGACCTAGCCTAGGGAGACTAGAAAAGAAGGGTGAGAGAAGTGAGGTAGGGCAGAAGGAACGCCAGATCTAAAGGAAAGGCTTCCAGAGGGCTGCATTTGGAAGCACATGGGCTGTTGGTTACTTGGACATGAAGATTGAGTTACAACATGATAGAAGTACAAACCTGATGGCAGTGTGTGAAGAGAAAGGTTTAGGAAAAATGGAGACGTGAAAGCTCAGTTAAGAGTGAAGAGAGAGAAATGGTAGCAGTCTTCATACCATATTCAGACCTTGCTACAGCCTGAATGTGGTTTGTATGGTAGCGAGCTGTAGTTTGAAGACCAAGCATGTTCTACTTACAGATTAAGCACAGAAATTCTTTATTAATGACGGAGGGAGTAGTTAATGTCCTAATGTACGGTTATTAATGCCCTATATGTACTGTAAAGGTCTTTAACCTTTCCTTCTTGGTGCTGAGGTTTTGAACCCAGGGCCTCGTGTATGGTAAGCACACACTACCTACCATTGAACTATGCCCCCAGACCTTGAAGGTTTTAATCTTTACCAACACTCCTGTTCTGTTTTACCCTGTAAAATGTAAAAGGTAATACATTTAACATTGTCTTTTTTAATGTATCTCTCACTAATGATTGAGCATAATTTTTTTTGTTTTTAAAGAGATGATGATGGTTTTTTTTAAATTGTTACTGTAGTTTTATATTTATGCATTGGAATATTAATTCATCATCTTTCAAGTGCCCAGGCACTTTCCTGTGTAATTCCTAAAATTCTTTCTCTTTTTTTTAATATTTTTAAAAATATTTTCTAGTTGTTGATGAACCTTTTATTTTTTATTTATTTGTATGTGGTGCTGAGAATCGAACCCAGTGCCTCACGCATGCTAGGTAAGCGTGCTACCACTGAGCCACAACCCCGGCCCCCTAAATTTCTTTATTTGAGAAGATTCCTAGGGATAACTTTGTTGCTAATAAATTTTTTTAATTTTAATAGGCTTGCTTCACTGAAGAAAAGTTCATTTCTTTGAATAACTGTATACATTATTTTAAAATATTTTTAAAATTTTATTTTAATGAGTTATACATGATTCTAGAATGCATTTTGATAAATCATACATAAATGGAATATAATTTCTCATTCTTCTAGTTGTACATGATGTAGAGTTAACACTGGTCATATAATTGTGTGCATGTGTACATTATTGAAGTGGTTGATTGCAGTCAGTGTTTTGCTTTTTTGTATTGATTTTTTAAAACAAATTACAGTGTGATAAACAAAAGTATATTTACTCTAAACCTTCAGAGTTGTAAATGCAACTACCTGCTTGTTTTAGTAGTTTTAATTTAAGACAGTGTCTCATTCTATTGCCCAGTGGGTCTTAAATTCCTGGGTGAAAGCTGTCTTCCTAACTCAGTTCTTGAAGAGGCTGCAACTACTAGGTCTAGAT